ATGGAAACTGTATTTCCACAAAAGTAAACACCACATTTCAAGAGCAAATTCTACTCAATATTCTCTAAAGTACTGCCTTTGACTTCTGTAGGGCAAGAATATCACCTACTCCTTTTGTAGGTGCTGACCAAAAAACTGGGATTCTCTTCCTTGTGAGCAGCAAACTTGTTAAAAGCAGTAAAACCCATGGGTTCCAAATGCTTCAGTGTTCTGTGAGCCACACATGGTCCATTCCTCTGGCGCTCCAGGTTTATCGGTCCAACCGTTCTACTGTTACAAGTCATCAGGAAGAACATCAGAAATCACGCTTCTAAAAGAGGCATGGGAACTTGCTAGTCTGGTATGCATGGCCAATTTGCTTAGGCAATTTCTCAGTGTCTTAACTAAACTAAACATAACTGCTTGAATAAATAAAATCACAATGTATCCTGAAAAGAGAGGAAAGACAAGGGCAGGTAGTACTGACTTAAGGACAGTTTTAAATGACAAAAGGAGGGACATCTACCTTTGTAGGTGGCTGTGGCCTTGTGTGAACTAGATCAGAGCTGATAAACACATGCCACCATCAGATCTATACTGACCTGAAAATTTTTAAATTCTGGAAATTAAAACAGATGAGTACTATTTTATGTAGTAGGAAATACAAATATCAGTAGCTGAAATGACTGGAAAAATTACGTGGATCACATGTTAGATTTTCCCTGAACTTACAAAAACATTCTCAATTTTTTTTAACGTATCAGAAAAAAAATTTAATTCATCTGAAGTCCACCTTTGCCAGAAGACAGATATTCAAGCTACCTTCCTGATTTATGTGGAGGTACTAAAGTGCTATTGGGTATAACCACGATACTGCATGAATCCTCTCTCAAGTTAACATCCTTCTTCCATCTTTCTATCAAGATGATGATTACGGGAAAGAATGTTAAAAGCCAGAAATGATCCTGGACATAGCAGTCTTTCATGAACTACTTAAAGAGTTTAAACACCACCTAATTAGCTTAAAAGTAGATTATTTGAAGGAAGTAGTTTCCACTGGGTGAAATGCAGAATAATCCTTACAAAGAATGGCTTCTAGAATTGACTGAGATATACAAAATTGCCAAACTACCTGGCATAGCAATACAGGGATCTACAATTACCTTTCTGAGAACATCAGAGGACAGTTACCTGCTCAGATGACTGTGTGCTGAGTGCTGCAGCTAAACTTACTATCCTGTGGCATTATTTTCACCACTGTGGGCATCAGAGAGGATTACTCCTGCTAGAGCACAGGAATGAATGATCACATTTGGGTTTGGAGGAATAACTTACTCTATACTCCCATGTAATATTAAGAATTGTCTGGCCCTAAATTTAGTGAAATCCTGATTATACCTAATTTAAATTGACATGCAATTTGAGCTAAATTTCTTTTCTGCCCTTTCAAGGCAGACAGATTTTTTTGTTTCTGTTTATTTAAACTGCTGTTGAAATTGGTTAATTAAAAGGATTTAAAAAATCTTAATAGTCTAAACAGAGCAAACTGGTTCTGAATTATTAAGCAACATTTTAGATGCATTTAAATAACCTTAAGTGACTTAACTGCCACCTGATCCTAAGCTGTGGCTCAGAAAAATAAAATGTGAAATACTGTAGAAGTCTTAGCTTACCAGGGCTTCCAGATACAGTAAATAAAGAGCTTAAGTGTCTAATACCATGTCTGCAAAAGGCATACTCTCAAATACATAACTAATGCTCCACCGTAAGGAGAAATGAATAGAAGAAATTGTAGATTGCAATTTTGATTTTTCAGAAGAAATTAATAAACTCAGTCTTTCAAAAATAGTCTTTCAAAAGAGAGAGCATGCCAGGACCTCCCATTCTGTCAGATACCATGAAACGTTCACAAACGTATCATTACCCCTCGTAGGGTGGCTGATGCCCAGTTTGGGCAAATTTGATCTGCACATTCCTCCTATAGTTTCTGCTAGACATGGTACCTGCATTTTGAAGATTAGAGCAATTCTTGGAATGAGAAGGTGACTGAGCCTTGGAAGAAAAGGAACTGTAATTCTAAAATCAGCACATACATTTACAGAGCACACACATTTGCTTCCATAAAGCCTTTGCAGGTGCATTTAAGAATAATGCAAAGAACTTCTAACTCAGCCATTCACTCTGAAAGATGTGCTTGCCAAACACTTTCGAAGCTAAAGGCACAAGTTACCTGCTGACCCAGGGTCACTCGTGTGAGGCACACTTGTGGGTACGGTATGTAGTGCTGCCTTGGATGAGGCACTGAGAGAGGAGGTGGTTAATATCTAATTTCAGTGCTAGTAGAAAGAACAACACAGTCGGTGACAAAGACCCAATAACAAGTCACTGCATGTGCTTAACTGCTTTGGAATGTCACTGCTGCTTTAAAATCTACAAGTAGTGTCTGGAAAAGGTTAATCTGCGTATTTGCTCATGTGTAGAAGTTTGTATTTACAGTAGGGTTATGATACCAACTTTAAGTTAGCTAAGGATATCTGTGTAAGCAACTGGAACAGAGAACTAAGAACTAATGAATTTTTATTTACCAAAGAAGTAAAAATACTTCAACAACACTGTATCAGGACTGATGGTTTTGAAAAGCAGGTAAAAGTGCTCTAACAAGTTTATTACAAGAAAATGCTGATTTGGTTGAAGATAATCCCCTCGTTTCAGTAAGACAGAAACACTTCTGGGGGTGTGTAGGTTACTGTAATACATATTAGGATAGAGCTAAAAAATACTAACTTGAGAAGATGTTCTCATCTTATTGCAGCAAAAACTACAGCAAAGTAATTCTGATGCTTTCAAACTTTTTTTTTTTTCAAAAATTTTATGTATAGTTTAAATACAAACAGACATTTTAAATGCTATTGTTTTCTGGAGCACAAGCATCCCAAGTGCTCTGCTCGTGTTGCACAGATTTCAGTGGATGTTTGTGATACGTAGCACACAGCAGGAGGGTCTTGCCAATCTTTTTTTTATTATTATTATTATTTTTTTTAGATCTGTCTATGGAGTTGCACACTCCCAACTTTCCAAACCTGGGGAACATGGCAATGTCATTTATAGTTCTCAGTGGTTAGCAGACCCCTAGGGATTATTTTTTCTCTGTTGTAGCCCTGGTGGTCACAATAGCAACCAGATTCATACACAGCCACTGAGTCAATCGGCATGAATCATTTATGTGACTCTTCTTACGTGGCATTATTAGGTTGGAATCACAGAAAAAAGATGACAGGGTCTTTGGCTTCCCATGTGACAGACCAACTGCTCTGTATCCTGCCATTAAATTATCTTTCTTTGCCTCAACATTTTCAGCCTGGCAGTTTCACAAATGTTCTAATTTAGTGGTCTTTTTTCTTTTCTACAAATTTTTTAATCTGTTCTTATGTGGGTCCTCTGATCAATTTTTGAGTTTATTACAGAGGACTAAAATTAATGATGATGATGATGATGTGATTAAGTACAGAAACAGCCAGCTTAAAGTGCAAAACAAATGTAAAAAGTTAGAGTTAATACACTTGTAGGTTTCTTTATATTAACTATGTACTAAGACATAAACATGTTACAGGTAGGGAAGTATGACTTGCAGAATATTTTAAACACAATGAAGCATTGTTTAGAGTGTAAAAGGTTATTTTTCTTCTGTCAGGGAAACTGAATGATCAGTAATCTTGGAAACACAGATGACTTCTAGTCTTTAGTTCCATTGGAAATTATATTACATGCTTAAGGAGTAAGGTTAATTAGTGATTAATGAGATTCCTTAAATGCTGCTTTTCAGTCTGACTGATTAGGATTCTCAGTATAAGCCAAGGTGGAAGAAAAGCTGTAAGCACTACAATCCTGTTCACAGAGTTATGCCAAAAACTGGTCAGAAATCGCATCCACTCTCAAGGTTGCAGGCTTGCTAAGGACATTATTTTCTTCCCCTTTGGAGTACTTACAAATAAAGTGATAAAGCAAGAGCTATCTGTTACAAAACAGTGTTATTCCCACTGAACTTCCTCTAGGGGCAGCGATGGAAAACAAAATGGAAAAGCTGCCCAAGTTACTGAGCTCCTTTGATGAAAAATGGTTTAACCAGTCACCTGGAGATGCCCCCAGCAAACAAAACCCTGGCTGACCCCGAGCTGCCCCGACTCATTTGCCGTACTGAGGCAGTAAGGCTTGAACCTCACCCATCCCTGCTTGGCTCTCTGCTGTCATCTCTGCAGTGCCCGTTACCTTTGCCTTTTATGCAGGGTAATTGCTGCACAGTTGGACCCACTGACTCATACCTTTGCTATAGCAATGGCTAAATAAGAAATGAAAGTTAATTTCAGAAAACATATAGGTATACTTTCAAAGAAACCTGGTAACCAGCACATAAATATCTGTTGATAAATCAACAGAATTTAATTGGCTTTTGTAACCAGTAAGAAGTATTGCTTTTGAAAACTGGTCACAGCAGGTACATCACTAGTATTTCGAGGTGCAAGATATAAATGATTATTTACTGGTATTATGTAACAGGTGGATGAACAAGTTATTCAAATGTACTGCTTCCTTGCTTGTTATGAGCCTTCCTTGCTCATAACATAAAATTGCATTAAAATAGCAAATCTAGAAAGATCAGAAGTACCAGCCTGTAACAGACCTAAACAGCTTACTAATATTGATGTGGCTTCAAAACAGGACGTGAGCAATGCTGCCTCAGCACGTTTGGGCAGTATTCACTGAGTATGGTCCACAACTTGTTCGTTTCAGAAACAGAGGGTTTTCTATAACATCACTGGAAACAGATTTCACAACGCAATTTTGTATGTAACTTATGATAGCACTGGTAGGTTAGCACCTGGCTCGCTTACAGCCACAGAGCTTGGCAGCACTCGAACATATCCAGGCATATCTTTTACCTTCTATGCTATAACATACTGGTCATCTAACATACAGGAGTAAAAAGTCAGTGGTATTTATCCCTGAAAAGTACATTTACTCACATCTCTTCTCGGAAAGGTGCCCAGCAGCTTGTACTCCTCCCAAGGATATCCCTTGGAAGCTACAAAATCAAAGACAACCTGCAGCTTGCTGCTGGCCAGGAAACGTCGCTCAAAGAATTCTCCGCTGGGTGTCCGAATACGCAGTTTACTGACGGACTCGGTGCTCTCCTCTTTCGGTTCGGGAGGCAAAGATTGCTCAAGAGAGAGCCTGATAGCCTGAGGAAGGAAAAATAGGTTGCAATGTTAGCAACAGAAGAAAAGGACAGAAAGCTTTTTATTTTGGTTTCTTCTGGAACTTCAAGATGTGCCATAGTCCTCCAGAGCCATAGCTGTGCTTTATCTCTCAATGACAAAATAATTTTTATTCATTCCTTAATAACAGCCCACCAGACAACTAATTAAAATAAATCCTTCGTTATAACACATATTATTAGGTCTACAGTTAATGCACAATGGGGATAAGTAATTTAATCATTTGGAAGAAAGCCTTGGAAAAAATTTGAATGAGAGAATAATTGTCAAGTGGCCAATTGCCTCCTTAAGAGGTATAAATTTAAAGGCAGTAAAAGTATTTCTTTAAATGCACTTATCAAATTGCCTTCCTCTTGCACAGAGTAATAGATCATTTGCAGCACAGACAAGACCCTTCATGGCAGTTCAGAGTAAAAACAAATATATGCAGGAGTTTTACTATAAATAAACTAAAACACTGCTAAAAGACATAATTAAAAATAACATGAAGGTACATTAGATACATAGAGTACACATAAAAGTAGGAATGGTCAAAGAAGAAAACTGGGAGGACAGAAATGGGACCTTTAAGATTTAAAGCGAGCTATTATTATTATTATTATTTGCAGGAAGATGGTTCCAAGCACAGGTGTGCACATCTTCTGCAACAACTCGCATGAAATCAGCCCCAAAACTGCAATGACATTACAGGTCTGAAAGATGCACGATTGTCTTCCCGCTAATGCTGTGTATACTGCTGGTGTCGGGGTTTTAAGGGTGGGAGCCAAGTCTCTGTTCTCTGTCCTCTGCCTCCAGAAGCTACTACAATACTAATAATGTGATCAGAAGTTTGGTTTTGGGGTTTTTTAAAAATTAATACCTAACATTAGACTGCTGAACAAGGTGGGATTGACTGTCGAGGGTACTGAGTGCTGTTGGTACTCATGGACCGGCACTGGTAGCTGGTGAAAATTAGACCATACTTCGAGAGCAGCCTTCTTACAGTATCACCTCACTTAGGGCAGCAGTTAATGAGAATGTTAATGAATGGAAGAAGCAGCATGATCACTCTGCCTCCCCCAAAATGCACCTAAAAGACAATTTTCCAAACCGAAGAGGCAGTCAGGCGCAGTTTTACCAGATTTTCCAAGGGACTTTCAAGATACACAGTTGTTATTTGTGCTTTTGAAAACCTCCACAAGGTCATTTAGTAACAGAAACTGATGGAGGATGATTACATTAAAGAAAAAGGACTGGGCAGAAGCAAGATTACGAAGGCTTTTAAATAGTCTACTTCTTACACACGAACCTCTGAGCAAATTATATCTCAGTATAAATATTTATACATAGAACTTCATTTTTGCTCATCTACTAGGAGATTATATTTTAAATAGATTCTATTTTAATTTTCTCTCTCTCCATTCTCAACCACCTGCTTACTATCTTTCGGTTTTGACATTTCCCCACACAGTATAACAACAGATGCTACATTATTTACTGAACCCAATCAATTATATTATAGAAAAATAAACAACAGTAGCTCATTAGAGCTCTTTTCTTTGTGCAAAGAGTGCGTCGCTCCCCAAAGTAACTAGTCTCCAAGGCTTCAACAGAAAATGGCAATTTGCAATGGATATTCTGTACCAGCGAACCAAGTCAGAAAACACTGATGAGATGGATCACATTAATAACTCTCAGACCTGAACAAGCAATTTCAGTTTGTTGATAAAAACACGTTCACTATGTGAATAGCTCAATAGTCAGATTTTAAACATACGAACTGAACATAAAGCCACTTCTGTAAGTAAACACTGTTGCAGAACAATTCAGTATAAGTAATCTGTATACTTGAAAATGGGGAGTGTTAGTAAACATTATTGTTAAAATCCCTTTTGTTCTACTAAGCAAACAGATCCTATTATTTTCATTACTGCACTCTACATTAACACAGAGAAGCCCAGGTTTATTTTGATAACGTGGATCAGTCTTGCAGCTTTTACATAAGAAAATGATTTCCAAAAGGCCAAGGTATCAGGAAAGGCTCAGGAGCAGATATAGTGAAGCAGAATTAATTATTGCTTCTATGCGTGCAAAATTACTTAAAAAAAGGAAAACATACTTCTGACCTAAATCTGAGTGTGAGCTGACGGCTCAACAGCCTGATACTGCTACAGCACAGATTTATGCTCCGTTACCATTAACCTCACAGAATTGCTGTCTTACAACTACTCTTGACACAAGTGTCTCAGTCTGGTTTTGTACATTGCTCCTTCAGCTGTGTTTTAGCTTCTGTTCTTGGCTCATGTTAACAACAGGAGCTAAATAAGGCATCAGATACTGTAGGATAAGAAAGAAGTGGACTGCATCTTTCCCAAACCATTGAATACTACTGTTTGGACTGAATTTAGTATTTACAATGCAGTACTGTTTAAAAGATTCTTGAATGCTTAAATGGTTCAGGTTTTTTAATACAATTATCTTGGTCAAAATATATACATATATATGCAAATACATTCCTCATACAGTTTGTTTATTGGGTTTATCTCCAGGAATAATAAATGTGTTCATAGCCAACTTTTTTGCAGTTGTATAATGCAATTTTTTCATACATTAGCAAAGTACACAAGACTGAAATGTCAAGTATACGTTTAAGTCACATGTAGGAGGGGAATAAGCAAGGCTGTGATTTACCACAATTCCATGAGTTCCAAGGACTTTAACTAAATGGAGAATTAAATGATAATATAATTCCAAATTTCAAAGCTCCATAACCCATGAAAGTCAATGCAAAGAAGTTACATTAAGTCCACCAAAAGACTGTAACTCTGATATTTTATATAAATGAATAAATATTTTTAACATTTATATGTTATTTTTATTTGACATAACACTGGAAATACCCTCAGGAAATACATATATATTCAATAGGGATGCTGATATAGCTTTGTATTCATCAGCAACTTGCTCACAGAATCTTATCTGCCTAGAAGTGAAAGGACAACACCCCATCACAGTGACTTCAGTTAAGATATTTATATGTGAAAATCCCTTTTATTTTGAAAATTTTATTCAAGGGTTTCAAAGTCCTTTTCAAGTTCAGCTGTGTTTCATAGCAGCTCTGTAAGGATTTGTATTTCAAGAGCTTCACAGCACAGATGGAAATATTTTAATGACTAATCTATTTTGCCTATCCTTTGAAATGTGGTGGGACTTCGGGGGAAGATCCATGGCTGCACCCCAGGTTTTTTACCATAGTTTGTTTGCCAGGAGGTGAAAAAGAGGAAGTCACTAATATAAGTAAATTCATGTACAAGATTCTTTATATAAATACCTACAGACACACAACTAGGACAGGAGCTAGCCTAGATCCTGAAAGAAGCTGCAGGAGACATCTCTCACTGGGACCCTCTGAATCTACAAAATTAAGAGAATCTACAAAATAGCAGAGTTTGAGCAACAGTACTCTTCATAGCACATTCTTTCTCTTTTCTTATATAGGCCTAGAGATGTGTTCATTTAAACACAATTTTCATTCTAAGGAAGATTCTGCAGAAGACTGTTTAGAAATTTTAAGATGTACCATAAATCAAATTTTCTACATTTTGGATTTTTTTTTTCTTAATTTTTTTTTCAAAGATGTTTTGTCTCTCAAATTAAATTTGGCAATTTGTTTGATCAGAATTGCAGCTAGGCTTTGTGCTGCTTCCTGGAAGAAATAAAAGGGCTCCCTGGTATTATATTTTTAAAAGGAGTGTCTACAGAAACAAGGTTAGAGGTTCTCAAAGATTCCACCATTTATGGAGATCATTTCATGGATCTCCTGTTAGCAGGCTGCAATTCAGACCCAGATAATGTAATGGTGACCCAGATGACAGAACAGAAAAGCTATTAAACAGTGGATGAAAATGATTTAGCTGCACTGTGTTTTATGTATATATGGTAAGAAATTAATTTTAAAAAAAATACGTTCACATAAAGAGTATACTTTAAAGGAAAGTTGCAATGTGTGTTGAATGAAAGTTGCAATGTCCATAAGCTTCATGAATCCAGAAAGTTGTCAGAAAAAGGTAAAACATCCCACCTCACGTTCTTCCTCCTGCTCTTTCCGAATCTGTTCCAAGCGAAACTGCTCTGCCATTTCTCTCTCTTGTGCTTCCCTCTAATAAACACAAACAGTAACCACACATGAATGACCTTGCTTTCCACAGCTGTGTTTAACGATGTGCATTAGCTATATAAAAGCAAAGAAACTTCTCTAGTTTTCTGTAGAAATTAATATAAGAATTAATACATTTATTAAAGTGATCTTTTCCTATCATTCCTTTCCCAACTTCTATTACTAAGTGGGGCCAGGACTGCTTTAGCAAAAAGATGGAGTCAAGTCTACTCCTAATGACTGTACCTAGTGCCATTTTACAACCTCTGAGGGCCATTATGGCTCCTACAGCAACCGTCTCATGTTAAAAATGGAACTGAAGTTGAGAAATCCTCTACACCAGAGAGATTTCACCAACTGTGGGGAGATTCCCATCCCAACGTTCATGCGTTGGGAGGTGCACACACCTTCGCTCTGTCAGCCTCCAGCGATATGCGGTACGCTTCATCCTGCTCTCTCTTCACATTTTCTCTGGCTTCACGTTCATCCTAAAGAAAAAAAAACAAAACAAAAAATATCAGCGAACAGTGGACCAATATTATATATACTTATCTTTACGTTCACCAGCACTCTTTAACCCCAGTGACTTCAAAATATTTGACTGTCCTACTCATCTCACTACTGCAGGGAGAAATGATTTCAGAAATGCCTCAAGGGTGACCTTGGCTTTAAAAATTATGACTTACCTAAAGCTCTGTTTCAATTGCCACAGGGAATTGTAAGGGATTGGCATGTCCAAGCCCCAGCCTGAGGGTTGGGTCTGGCAGCACAGCTCTTTGCCCTGCTGCCTTTACGAGAGCTGGGGCCTCCTCCCGTGTCAGCCATGTGGGGAGGGGATCACGGGAGGGGTACGTGTGCTGGGGAGGATCTCGCAGGGGACTCACTCCTGCAGCCAACAATTTGGATGGTCTTGTAACAGGGAAGGACAGACTGAGGTTTAAAGGATGAGGCTGGATTTTAACTTGCTCTCTGCTCAGACTGACAGCAGTTAATGGCTTGTCCTGCTCCCAGCTCCCTCCTTGGTAAAAACACCCTCAGGAGGATCCATCTGGGGCCATGACTATTAAACATCATCCAGAGGCCTCAGTTCACATTGTGCTGGGTATTATACAAAGATGGGAAAGCAGCAAGTCCTGCTCTGAAGTGTCTCAAATACACAGATGCAGGCAGACAAGAAACATGAGGTTAGCATGCCAACTTCAAACCAGCAAACCTCGCACAGTATCTTATTAACAATCACAGCATAAAAAAAAATATATGTGAATGACAAAACGAAGCATCATCCCTATGGTGGAAGGATAAAGAAGCAGATATCCCTGAAAGCTGGAATAACTGCACTGGGGTAATGTCTGACAAAGCAAAGTGTACAATCAATAGCTTCATACTCTGCCTCCGGAGCCAGAGACAGCGGCTGCTCCCCTGTGCTTACTCCTCTTACATCTTATAATCCTCCCAGAGCCCTGCAGAGGCTGCTCAGGTCCCTACAAAAATCAGTAAGATTTAGCTGTGAGACTGCTGGTGGGCTCAGCACAGTCACCTGTAGTCACCAGTAACACAGCACCTGCACTGGGGTAATCTGTCCCCTGTATTTCATAGAAATTAAAATCTACTACCTACTGCTTTTTGAAGAATTATGTTAATTTTTCATTAATCTGCAAGGTTTATTCCACATAAAGGCATCATTTTGCAAAGTGATCAATTTTCTCCCAAAAACTTCACTACCTGGCAAAAGCTCAGTTCTAAATGGGAGGAGCATACGTTAGCTGTTACTATCATGCTGTGCAAACATGCCAAGATGTTCCTCAAACAAAACTCTAACGTATTAGTGGTTAAAAAGCTCTAAAGTAGCATGCGACCACAAGAGGAAAGGACAAACTGCAGGAAAAGGTATACAACCTCCAGCTGGAAAGTAACAAGATCTTTTTAGAGGAAACTCTTCATCCTTATAGAAACAGGACCCAAGATTATTCTACAATCAGTGTGTCCTAAATTTCATTCACAGAAGATAGAGAAACCATCACTTTGTTCATCAAAGCTAAGACATGAGTAGAAGTAATTCTTGCACAATGTGAAAAACACAATAACCACTGAATAATCCATTCCCCTCCTGGCTTCCCTGGACCTTGGCAAGCTTCATGTGTCATGTTCATGGAAAACCTTCAAAAATTAACTCAAACCTGACAGCAGAAACTGCCCTGCATTAATATTCTATTTCTGAGAAAAGGGGGTGTTGAAATAATTAAACAGCTCTGATTTTTATACTATCCAAAAATGAGAAAAGCTTCTTGACTACACAGAGGTTTTCCCAACTCTTCTCATAGACGGAATGTAACAGTAAAGGAAAAGGTTTTGTACTACCTATACTGAGACTTTCCATAGGCATACCATAAATTTATCTTAGAATCATGAGAAACAAAACTATCTTCCCAAATCAACTTACTAAAGGAAGACAGACTTCAGGCAATCTGCAAGAGCACAAGCATTTATAAAAATATGAAGAATTGTTTTGCATAGAGTCTATTCAGCTTTCATGTTTTGCAACTTCATATATCGTACACTAACTTCACACGCTAACTGAATTTCCAAAGTCGCACAAGTCCAATAATGACCAAGAAAAAACAGAATGATCATTTGCAACTATTGCAACTACAGGCTCTTTACTTCATCAAAGGTTACTAACAATTACCGTATAGTTACTTCAGTTTACAAAAAAACCCCCATACAAATCCAAACCAAAACCAACCCTCAAAAAAAAATTAAAATTAAACATTTACAAAAATTGTTAAAAACTCACTCCAAAAATATATACTAATCAGAGTTAAAAGAAATTGCATACTGGCTTTTATTTTACATTTTACATACCGTCTAGAAAACTCTAGGAACTTATTAGAAGCTTTTTCGATGAGCACAGGATTCATTTACCTATAGAGAGCTTAAGTAGAAGAATTTTTTTAATTGGTTTATATAATCTGGATGATAGCTGCAAAAAACACTGCTGCTATAGATTCTACAACGAGAATCTAAACATGAATTTCAGGCATTTAAAAAAAAAATTCCTCCCTATTCATCACAGTTATCATCATCCTAAAAGTGGATTATGAAAAAGATGTCAGGAATGTGAAGAATTACTATGCATGACTGCCTGGTCCTCATAGAAATATGTAAGACACATCTAAAAGTAAATGACCATGCCACTGAGCTTTACACCACATTAAAACAATACTGTTCTTACTGAAACAGACCTTCAAAATCCAGAATCCAGATTCCTTTAGGTAAGAAGCAGATGTAATCCTATGAAATGTCTCTTTGTATGTACTTGTGTGTTTTAATACTGCTCACTCTAACAGGAATCACTTCCTCTACAGAGATTATGGCAAAATAATAATATTTTTAGGGTCAGAGTTACACCTTAGACAAATTTTAAACATTAGACACTGCAGCTCTCCTTTTTGTAATGCAGTTTGTTATTTTAGTCATCTCTTCCTCCAGAGAAACCATACAAAGTATGAGGATGACTCAAGTTTATCAAAAGCAACAAAAGAAAATTCATAATGGTGACAGAACAAGTGGAAGAAAATGTTTTGCAGAGAATCTTTCGTTGCACTAAGAAAGAACACATGAAGAAGAAAAGAATAGTCATACCACTAATAATTAATTTAAAAAATGTTGTAAGTAGCAGCCAAGATCTGAGGTAGTTGACAGCTTTCCTGTTAAACCCTACATCAATTATAGCAATGACTGAACATCAATAAATGCATCTCCACAATACTTTTACAAGGATGGTAAAATTGCCATCTTCCTTTTTCAAGAAACCAAGGTGTGAACAGACAACAGCTTATCCCAGGTCACTTAAAGAGCCTTCATCAGAAACAGGGGTTTCACTCAGCATTTCTGAATTCCACAGCCGCAACCGAAGGCTCCTGTGAATGTAAACCATCCACATCCCAGGGACTTTGGGCGTGAGATGAGGAGACAACTGTCCTTTGCTCCTTAAAGGGAAAAAGTCACAGATTTCTGCTTTCCCATTTTGACAATGCACCACTAGTGGGGACATTCATTAAATGGGAAGTTGATACTCAAAAAAAAAAAACCAAAACCAAAACAAACCAACATTTATCCACAGAATATATTCTTTAGCTATGAAGTTTCATCACTATCATGTATATTACAAAATCATAACAAAAATAATAAATGCTTATATTCATGAGACAGTTACAATGGACCAGATAAAACCTTCTCTTGAGTAATATCCAGAGCTACAAGACTAAGAAAAACTTACAGTTAAGGTGAAGAAGAAATTTAGGATAACCCTCTCCAATAATTACTCTCTAAACCATTTCTTGAAGTTACTCCTAATAGCACCTAACAGCAGGCAGTTTCAGATACAGAATGATGGAAACAGGGGATTCCCAACTGCATTTAGGACAGCAACCTCCCTTTTCCTGCAGATTACATGGGGAAAAAATACACAATACTTTGGCTTTTTGGGTGGGTTATTTTGCTGGAAAAGTCTGTGTTGGCCCTTCTGGGCTTTTTTTAAAGTTATTGTTGTTTCTGAAGGTAGGATTTAATGATTTAACCCCAGGAATCAGCTTTGCACCAGATGTGTCTAAGGAATATGTGTTATACTTTATTCCTCATTGCCCTTTGGGGTCAGTTTTACTGCGAAGTAAACCAGATGAGACAGAACTTGAGAAGATAACCATGAGCAGAAGACATTTCTCAGGGCATCAGTGAGTAAATGGCTGTTAAAAGAAAAAAAAAAAAAAGTGTATGTACAAATGCTGAATGCTTATCTGAAAGACAGTTCATTTCACTGAACCACTCCTGAAATTAAAAACTGCAAGTGCTTAAGGCGATTCATGAGAGCGTTAAAGAGAAACACCCCTTTGTCCAAACAAACCAGTGCAAGAAAGACATTAATTTGAGTCACTAAGATGACAGACTTGCACATTGTATAACTTAAGCATACATGATGGGGAATATATAGAAGAAAAAAGTATACACAGAATGTGTTTGGTATATGAGAACGATGAAGATAAAGCAAATGGAAGTTTCTGGGGTGACAGAACCTAAGGTGGGGAGGCAGGACGGGGCAGGGTGAAGGGGCAGAACAATGGAAAAGCACGGGAGGATCCTGCCTGTCTGAAAGCCCAGTTCCATGGACTGATTTCTGGGAATTACCTCAAGTGACAAGAAAGAAACCAAACCCAAAACCCTCAAGAAGCTGTCCTGCAGTGACTTTCCACGGGAAACGAGCCAGCCAGTCCTGTACAACATCTACCCACCTGGGCTGTGCAGCAGGGAAAGCTGCTGTTCACTAAGACAAACTAAGCGAATAGTCAGTGACTGGAGCCATCAACATGTATAGCCAAAAAGCCACCTGAACTAAAGATATTTTCATTTCATCTTTTCTTTCCTCTGTCATTACCTTGCGTTTTGTCAAAGTTCAAAATAGGCCGTCAACTCTCGAAGGTGGCAACTGGTA